CCCCGGTAACCCTGCAGCTTTATAGGCTCAGAATAACGCTAACTTCTTTGTCGTGAAAGATGGAAAGAGGGAAAAACCATGGTTCCCTCTAAAATCTTTCCAAGGCAAAGCCAGGAAGCATAACTTAATTTGGGTATTTTTTGTCCTTTCTATTCAGTTTAATATAATATATTTTAGTAACCATGTAATCACTAATGTTTTATCCCACCTGCCTTGTGTGTGTGTGTGTGTGCGTGTGAACTCGTCAGCCATATAATTAAACAATCAATGTAATTAATAAATGAATATACTGAAATAATTAATATTCCCCATGTATCAATAGATTTTTAGTAAATAAAAGGTGGGAAAAATGATACAGTAAGTGCTTGAGAAGTTTTGCATTACATAGCTGTTTCTCTCTCTCTCTCTCTTTATCTCTCTCTCTCTCTCTCCCCCTCCTTCCCTTCCCCCCTCTCTCTTTCTTCCTTTTTGAAGCCACTTGTTTATTTAAAAAATTTAAAGGCGTCTGTTGTAATCTCATTGGAACAGATCAGTCCCTTCTTCTGTTCTCTGGCTGTTCTTTGTCAGTTTGAAGACTTCCATAAAACCTATCAAGTCCCCTGGGTAATTTTAAGACTTTAATAATACCATTTTGATTTTGATTTTTTTAAAAAGGACGACGCAAAGCACATACTGCCGAGATTTGCTGTTTCGTAGCCAGCTGTTCCGAAACCCATGTTTTAATTCCTCTAACCCTCTGTTGCTCCTAAACCCAGCCTCTGGCTGTTCATCAATTTATGGAGGACCAACGGTAGGATTTATTTGAGTGCAGCCTAACAGTGTGATTCTAGTTTATACTCGAATAAATCCTCCCAACTTTTTATAAACTAGTGGTCACCCTCTTGATATTTTTTGACCATTCCCCCCCCCCCCCATGAGGCTCGGTGGCTCACTGGCTTAACGACGCTGGAGATGGTCTGCTTCAGAGGTTTGAGTCCCAGCACTGCGGGGCAGGGTGAGTTCCCGTCACTCGTCCCAGCTTCTGTCCACTTAGCAGTTCGAAAGCTCGTTCTGTGCCAGTAGATAAAAGGGCACCACTTCACTGGGGAGATGAGTTGGTGCTCCGTTTAGGCAGTCAGATTCCTGCCGGCTCTGAACCTTCCCGGCCGCGACACCCGTTTGCAAGGTGGCTCTGAGGAGGGGGAGGAGCCTTGGATGGCGCTGCAGGAAGAACCGCTTGCCTTTCTCTCTGGTGCAAAGCCAGCTCGCCCTCTTGTGGCTCCCCTTGGGAGGCACGCAAACATTTCCTACAGCGGAGCTGGTAACTTGGCAGCCAAGCTATTATTATGCGATGGCTTGGTTGTTCTCCATGCAATAACAACAATAGTAATAAAAATAACAAAACTGCCCAAGTTTGGAGACCCCCCCCTGGACTAAACCATTGACCATAGCATGAATAACCCATTGCAGCTTTTCCCAAATTGGGGAACTACAAAGTCCATGCTGGTTGGGCCTCCTGGATGAAGTAGTCATAGCTCATCTGAGCATCACCCAATTGGGAGAAGAGTGGTGTTTGCCTGGTTATTTTATTATTTATTTATTTGTTAGACTTATATACCGCTTCATAGGGCTTTCAGCCCTCTCTAAGCGGTTTACAGAGTCAGCATATCGCCCCCCACAGTCTGGGTCCTCATTTCACCCACCTCAGAAGGATGGAAGGCTGAGTCGACCTTGAGCCGGTGAGATTTGAACCGCTGAACTGCAGATCACAGTCAGCTGAAGTGGCCTGCAGTACTGCACCCTAACCACTGCGCCAT